GGCAGCTTGGATTTCATAAATGTGTGTGGTATTTCAACTGCAACGTGTTAGACACAATTTATGTACTGGGAAAATGTGTCATAATATGATTCAGACCTTTGGCAAAGTAGAAACACATAAACACTCAAATATACAAGTGAGATGGACACAAAATCTGCTGACCTTGAAACTCCATAGCTCTGCCTATGGCATCCATGAATTTCCCCTAGTTTTGCTGGTGTAATAATTTCTGTCTTCCCTGCCTGGTTTGCTCTGTTGGTACATAATGGGTACGTCATGCACTGCTGTTGCCATCAACCTCCTCAATCTGGACTCTATAGCTTCAGTAGGGCTAGCAGCAGGCAGATGGGTGCCTTGGGTGCGTGAGTGAATACAGTATATGGTAACTGCTATCTGTTCTGCTTTGCAAGCAGATTAAGTAGGAGAGAGTGACCAGGGGACTTCACTGCAGACATTTGTCTCCTGTGAAAACAGATGTTCCCAGAGACGGATGTTACCATTTTTGCCCATAAGCTGATCACTGTTTCACTCAGACTGCACTGAGAGCTGGAGAAGCCTAAACACTGGTGGAAACACCAAGGGGTTTGGAATTGTCCTCTCTTAAACTACCACAGAGTTGTAGAGAGGTATAACAGACTGTAGCAGGGCTCTCAGCTGAATCAGCAACTCAGTAGCACAAAGAGTTAATGACTACACTGCTAAATGCATTGCCTCTTCCGAGATACTGACAAAGTTATAGTAGGTGGTGGTCAACTGTGTGACAGATGAATCCACCCATTCACATCTGCTTCCACCATGTTATTTAATTCACCTTTCTTTAACTGTGAAAATGCCACTTCTTACTGCTTTTTTTTCTTCTTCTGGCAGCATATTTACAGTTCACAGCATATTTTTCAGTGCCCCATTTGTGAGCTGTGGTGGATGCTTGTCTCCAAGTCAACAAATATGTCACCATATCCAGGAACATGTATACACACAGCAGAAAAAATCTACAAACTCATTCCGATATATTGAACATTTTTAGAAGCAACATTTTTGTGATTCATAATTATACAACACTTACTCGTTCATTTCAGCATGAAACTGTAAGAGATTGTGTCCCCATTTCACATTTCTCTTTAGCTCTTGAATATGAAGATAGGCAAATACAATAGCCATTTGTGAGTTTGTCAGTGCAAAGGGAATATGTACTTTGAATCTTAACCCACTGAAACTACGAGTTAGATAGACGATTACATCAGTGGTAGTCACAATCAATAAGACTTCTGATGTGCCATTTGCCTTACAGATTGAATATAGCAACAATAGATCTGTGTTAAATGCCTCATCATGCTGTGTCATTCTGTTCATACAGTATGTGTGTTTATGTATGACAGACACAGCTGACACTGATCACTTACAGTATGTAGTGTTGCATGAGCTGCATAAAACTTTAATGCACTAGGTGACACCCAAAAGGCATGTGATTTTCAAATTTTCTTATTACAATCCTGTTTACAAAAGATTGAATAATGACAAATTTAAAATGTATCCATTATAATGATTTCCTTTAATCTGGCTTTACATATATAGTTTTTCTGTACGCTTCTTCCTCCTCAGTGTGAAAATATACAGAAGGATGCATAAGAAACGTCCATCCCTACTCTTTGAGATATTAAAACAGTCTTAGTTTAGTCCATCTGTTCATTTTTCATGTCTATATGTGTTTGGTGTCATGTTAAGCTGTATGAAATGATTTGGTTCAATTCACTGTCATTGATTTCTTATATAATATAGGGGGCTGACTCCAGACGCACAGGGACTAATCTAATCTAATCTATAATATAATATAACAAAAGTATGTTTTTACTTAATGTGGGCAATTGAGCCCTCCTCCCAGATCTTAGGCAGTTCACAATTCAAAGAGAATTGTGGACTGCAGCCTAACAATACTAGTGTTGATCACTCTTGTCATTAACTGTGGATATAATTATTTTGAAATAATATGTATTCAAAAACAAATGTATCCTTTCAAAAAAATCAGCAACATTTACAATGTGTTACAAGTCACATTTGGTTCTGAAATCAAGCGGGTAGTTCACTCAGTCAGGTGACAGGAGAAAGTTTTACGGTCACAAATGATGGATGAAAGTCACACTTGCAGCTACCGTGCAAACTTTAGCTGATCTGTTTTTCTGTGCACTCTCCTTCAGTCCCTGCCAAACATACGGGTCAGTTACAGGATGTGTTTGGTTCTTCATATTAGAGAAGTATTCCTGGAACAGAAGTGTGCTGTGTCAATGTAATTTCACAACCTTTGTAAATTTATGGATATATAAATGCATGTTATTTCAACTTCAGAGATTTGTTAGTAGATTCTTTCACACGGTTTTTTTTTTCAAATAATGATTCAATGATGCGGAACTGTGTTCCTTTCATTTTCCTTTTAATATAATCTACGAAAAAAAAACTTTATAATAATTTATAAAAATAAAAAATAATTTAAAAAATTAAATGCAGAGCATAAAGACGAAAGTTGTCTTGTATGTATTCATTCAGGTCGCAGTGTGCATGACAGGAATTGCAATCATTCATCCCCTCAATCAGATTATGAAGACCTGAAACTCCTACTAATCACTTTGGCAAAATGACCAGACGAGGCGCTTCTTTGTCCTCATTTCTATTTTAGACCAGCAGTCAGCCGATTAAGGAGTTCAACTAATTAAAGTATGATGTTACTTTTTAAAGGAGAACTGAAACAATAGTTCAATAATTTGATATCGTTTCAGTTAGCCTTCAAAAAAACAACATCAAACTTTATAGTTGCTGTTCTCTGACTCACGGAAGCTAAAATCTCAATGTGGTGCTTCTGTAGCTCTCGTTCGATTACCAGGCTGAGATTTACAGTACGTCAAGGTCCTGCAGGCATGTGACTGGTGCCTCAGTCTGAGACTTTAATCCCTGCTCATTCTCATTTGCTGAGGTGCAGATGAAAATAGGAAACTGTCGCAACTGTTGGTCTTTAAATCCTTGGGGACCTGTTGCTGTTTACATCGTGAAGGTAAACCCGACTTGATACTGAGAAACGATGTACAAAACATGTTTCACTCTGTATCGGATTTCACTGTTCTTATGAAGGTGTTGCTTTCCGAAGCTCCATTTCACCTTTTGCTCGAACCCCTAGGTGTCCAGAAAAAAATTAAATACAATTTCGGCAGTCAAAATTAAATAATTAAGAACATAAGGTTGCAAATGAAAGGAGGTCATTTGGTCTATGCTGTAAAAGAACAAGGAGTGATTGAAAGAAAATTGTGTTTACTGCTTCTTAACTCACACAATAAAAGACCTCTTTAATCTTTGTGAACTAATTATCATCTGGCTGTGCTATCCATTTTGTAATTAATGTTATTATTAAACTTATAATAATACAATCAGCATCATGCAGAATTATGATCAGCATCACAAAAATACATGCTGGGCCAAACAACTTTGTATGCTGATCAGACGTTTGACCTTCTTGTGAGAATATTTTCCTGCATTTCATAATCCTGGTTCTAGGGCAACAAGAATGAAATCTAGCTGCCACAGTGCTGCCTGAGCTCAAGCAAACAAACTGTTACTTAATATTTCAAGTATACAAGTGGATAACATATTTTTTCCCAAATTATTTTCAAACGTTTTCCAATATATTTGTTGTCTTAAAAATATGATCTTTTGTAAGCATACAAAGCTGATATTTCCATTCTTGTTTTAATAAACACTGAATACATGCATAAATAGCATGTATCCTGGAGACAAAAAATATCTTAAAGTAAATGAAAGCATAGTTTAAGCAATTATTATATTTTAAATGTTTTCTGGAGGAGGAGAGCATCTAGAACAGGCTTTATTGAAACCCTGTTCTGCTAAAAGCTGAAACGATTCTACAGCACACATGAGCTATTTAAACGTTTCAATAAACTAAATGAAGAGTATTTAAAAACTAAAGACTCAATAGTGCACTTGGACCAAGACCGTAACGCTTCCAAACACCTTTCACTTTGCGAATGATCTCCAGCTCTAGTGGCAATTAATTCTGATTTCTTAGCACCCTCTCATGGCAAAAAGTGATCAAAACATTTTGAACTCTGTCTTTTCTATAGGTCGGCTTACTATGTAGTATACAAATAAATGTAAATGCGTTAGTTATGATAGTTTCTTATCAGCAGCTCGTTCTACTAGATTTTATACCCAAACTTGAATTAAGCATATTAATTATTAGTGTATTGTATCGATTTATTTTCAGTGAATAAAGAGCGTTTCATCTGTATCCATTCCTTTATACAACTTGCCAAAATCAGTTTCACATTGACAACATTATATCACAGCGTCACAAAAATTAATCTCCCAAAGCTAGGTCAATCCAACACTGAATACTAAATACTAATACTAAAACATACAAATAACAGAGAAAATGCGAAAAATAATAATATAGGAATGGTAAACCAAATCAAAATGTCTTTCCCTAGCCTTATGTAGAGACTGTCCCAGAGAAAAATTGTTTGTTCCATCACAAACAGGTGTTTTACTTTACTCAGCCCCATGGTACAGTACATGTTGAGCGTCAGTTTTAAGCCACTTTATAGTACAGTATTTTTTTTACAGTTATCAGTGGGAAGTATTTCGGCTCTATGCTATCTGCTCTCTTCTTCACCCCAAGCGACTATTCATTATTTAACTTAAATAATTATTTAACTTAAATTTTAAGGGTTTTCCCTCCTCCCCACTGACAGCTGATGTGAGGTGAGTGTACTGGCGCACTTTTATCATTATTAAAATAATAATAAACATCCAAAAGTCACACAGCTGAGAATGAATCCAGGAACTACTTCAAAGAGAAACAGACCTTGACAAAGTATTGGCTCAGTGAACCCAGGCTGGCCATACCAATTGGACAACACAGGCAGACCTGGTTACCCAGAGAGAACAGAGTGTGCTCCCACCACTACAGCAGGGAGCTACAAGAAATACTCGGAGATTAGAGATACATTCTTCCCTGAAATAACAAATCAGGTCCCAGGATCACGACACTTGCCAGGATCAGAACAGCTTTCAATCCTGCTGGGGGTGTTGTAGAAAGGTATGCTGTACTGTGATCTCTCAGAAATAAAAACAAGGAGGAGAAAAGAATAGTCTGTACTAAATTTAAAGGTTTGTGAATTCTTACTGCTTTGCCAGCATTTTAATTAATCAAAATCATTATCAAGTATTATGAATCTGAATTTGAGATACAAACGTGTGATTACTTCGCCGCTGCTTGATGTCGATTCAAACTCCAAACGCAGTTGTCTATTCTCGCCACTAGGCGCGCTGTTTACTCCCCGCTGTGTCGGCCTCAACATTTGTGACTGGATAGTGAAGGTTTTTTTTTCAATCCGGCTCCAACATGGCTACCTTAACAACCGCGGCGTCAGCGGGGACCTGTTTTGAGGTACAGGTAAACTCTCTTCAGCTTTTGATCGTTTGTATTATTACGAATCATGAAACATAGCGCCTAACAATGTTATAAATGTAGTTGAAATGCCTTATGTTTTATATAAAATTAGACAAAATCTGAAAAACAGATGGATTTCTGTCAGTTCTATGGTTCACCTCATACAGCACTGCTGGTGAAGAAATAAATGTAATATGTTTCACTGAAAGCTATGACTGTATATATTTTTATAGCTTTGTTTTAAAAAAATGTTAATGTCTAGCTGTGTTTTATTTTTACAGGATGACAGTGAATTCCAGCCTACTAGCTGTCATGATAAAGAGTTTTACATACAGAGTTGGAAAGCGAAAGCCGCTCAGTCCAAGAAAGTGGATTTCATCCGAGAGGCAGACAAACTTAAAAACCAGTATGTAATCGTCTAATACTACGACAAAGTCTGGTGTTTTACTTTAACCCTTTCTGTACTCCACATCTTCATCTGGTACAGGGATACGTATGCTTCATCATAATAATTGCTTGTATTTACAGTATGTAGTAGCGATTTTCATCTAAAAAAATCCTGAACGCTTCACAGAGCACTGAGGTTTTGCACCCGAACCACTACACAGCAGATGAGGTAGAAAAGTGAAAAATCCGTTGATCCGTTGATTCATTTTAAGTCTGTGTTCCTGACAGAAGCGAGACCGATTTAATAAAGGTTTATCAAGGGGAAACCTAAGGTGCGAGCGAGCCCAAAACGGATTATTTTAACAGGTAAATCAATGAAGAGCAGCACATTTACAATGATGATATGGAAACCCATTTATGCAATGTGAAGGCGGGTCCAACCTGGGTTTTCAAACCATAAAGGTCCAGAGTCCCTAATCATTATTCTATGCTGCTGCCCTAAATTTAAATAAACTAGAACACAGGGATCACCACACCTGTTCTCATGAACAGAGGCACTGTGTTCTCTGTTACCTACAGGGGATCTGTAAATTCTGGTTCAGATAGAAGAGTCTATGACTGTTCTGATGTTACTGGGATAGAGGGGCTTGGTCTTTTCCTCCACATATATATATATATCAGTAGACGTGCTGTACTTTATATGTGTATTAGTGTTTCATGCTAAAGTAATTAGTTATTAGTTAATTCTATTAAAAATGGAAAGAACTTCATTATATTTCAGGAAGAGTCATTGGGGCAAAATGGAATTGTGCGAGAGAGACAGATACTTATGAATACTGTAAATAATTGCAGCAGAACATCTGTGTAAATTTTTTTTGTAAAATATTTGCATTAACATTACTTTCATAACGTCAAGTTCCAAGCCATAACTGGTGATTCACCTCAGAAAATCCATTTTAACTTCTATGAAACTGTCATTTCAGGATTGCCAAACTTGAAAAAGA